GATCATAAGGGCTGTGGACATCCTCTTTCAAAAAAACCTGATCAACAGGAGATTGGAAGAGGAAAGAGTCCGCGATAATTTCCAGTGATGTCTGAGCAGACTTGGGGATAAAGTAAAGGCATCAAAAAGAAGACGCTTGGACCTAGAACAACTGTTCGGCAACACGAAGAGACATCCCTAAAGAGCGGCTCATGAGAAAGAAAGGGAAGTCAAGAAAAGGCGATTGCAGTAAGAGGAGTCAGACATATAATTGACTAAAAACAATTTCCTCAGGGGATTCACCTGTGAGATGTAGGATATGAAATTAAAGGTTAAATGTATATGTGGGCTAGATAGAGGTCACCAGCGTGTGCGCATAAGTGCCGTGGGTATTTTTCGTATCTGTGTCTGAAGGGAAGTTGACTGGTGGCAAGCTTGAAAATGGGGGATACCAGCCAACACACACAGGAACATCACCCCAATACAATAGGATTAGATGGGAATGTCAACTTGAGAGACGAGAGGATTGCGTTATTCGCTATTCAAAGAAGAAAAAGAGAAGTGGTGCAATCTCACGCCAAAGGTTATGATTTTAGCCGGACTCAGGGCACCAAAGAATGAGACGCAATGCGGGTGGAGATGAGGGAGAATATAATTGAGTCAGGAGTTTGAAGCCTAGAGAGAGGAAGATTCCCTGGCACTGGCATGTGCGTGGACATGGGCCTCATCTGCTCGAAATCCTCTAATATGACGCAATCGAGGATGGGAACGGAAAGCGCTTAGGCAACCAGATTTCAGACCACCAAATAATGATTTTGACATTTAGGAGCGGCCAATTGTCAAGTGTATGAAAAAAAGGGTGGACCAGAATGAAATTCAGAAGAGCCCTGCAAAAGGCATCTGGTACAGGTCGTAGAGATGATTATGCTTCATTAAACCTACTTGCAGCAACATACTCTTAGGCGACATTGGAGGAGATGAGAGCACATATGAGGTGGGAAGGGGTTTGGCCTTGTTTTCGCGACTTGGTTGAACGCACATTGTCTCAAGTCCTGTGCCATAGTAGTTATCATAAGTACAGGCATCAGACCATGAACTTGGTACAATTTCAGACGTTTCATCGGCATCATCAGTGAGTCTTGCCATTCTCCGCACCAGCTTAAATTCGTCAAAGAAACAAGATGAGTTGTAGTCTGGTGCTAAGAATGGCAAGACTCACTGACAATCAGGCGAAATGTCGGGAAATGTATCAAGTCCACGGTCCTGCTCTGGAAATTATCATGCATACTATGGACTCGAGAAAGGTGCATTTCTCTAGGTCGTCCTGCCAACATTATCAAATTGCGAAAACAAGGTCAAACAACCACTATATATAGAAAGGAGAATGCGACTTTAATAGAGAACATAACAGCTTGACTTTCGTATCTACTCTTAAACATCAGGAAAACTCACATTTTTCTTTAGCGCACGCTTTTCTTTCACATTTTCAGTACTCTTTTGGTCAGTGACATCAGACGAAGAATCTACACCTAATGGAGGAGAAGAAAGGGCTTCGTCCGATGGTGCTTGCTCGCCTATCTCCCCAGCAGAACTTGACATTAACACTGAGCCATTAGATACCAGCGCCTGTCCACTGGAAAAACTATGATCAGAAAAGTTAGGTCGCCGGTCATTTGCATGTGCCATAGCTATTTCGGTGCGCCGACGTTCTCGGCGTTCACGTTCCTCCAGTGCCTGTGCGTACTTGGCTGTGAGGCGACGCTGCCGACGACCCACAGAGGTCATAAGACAGACTCCGGTACCATCGATTTCTTCGTCAGCAGGGCCAGTTGAAGCAGTGGCCGTCTCAGTAGTCACTTCGTCTCCTTCATCTTCTTCTCCCAGGACAACTTTATGACAATCGTCTAACGCCTCAGAGCTAGCCTTATGCTCGTTATCATCGACACTACCATCTCTTTCGAGCTCATCCTGTGCTCCAATCGAATTTGGCTCTTCTTCGGTGGCCTGTCTGAAATATTTACTGTTTTGCCGACCCTTCTTCTGTTTGGATAATTTTTTGACTGTACACTCCAACACGAGATTTCTCCGATCATCTGGAACTGTTTGTTCAGCTGCATAAATCGTATTCTCAAGTTTATCCGTTTTAGATAGGATTGTATGCCTGAAGCTCTCACTACCGGCCAGCTTATTACTAAAGGAGAGGCCCTGCTTCAAAGACCTAGGCCGGCCACGAGGTCGCTTTACTAGTTCAGTGCCAGCATTGACCTCTGGCTTGATGCTAGTCTGTGGAGAAATAGGAGCAGCTATGATAGAGCTAGTTGGAGGTAAAGGCTCTACAACCTGCTGAATCTGAGCCCTGGAAAATTGCGCAGGGAACTCTTCGGAAGCCTGTGTGAAATTGGTTAGACGGCGATTCGAATTATTCGTGGATTCCTAAAAATTACAATGTAGATGAAAGTTTAATAATAAAAAAATGGGGACTTACTCTAATATCAGTAACAAGAGTAATAAAAAATGTTTCCTCTGCAATAAATGCTTATAAACGTTTCCGAGTAATATCACAACACTTGATGCAAGTGCCAAATACAGTCAACTATAGACGATAAGAGAAATGACATGGAATCCGTTGAGAATAAAGTAGAAATGTAAATAGTGACAAAACACTTTTCACTTAAGAGCTAAACGTCTTAAGATGGGCTCAGTAGTCAAAATTAATAGCCAAATGGCCTAATATCAAAGAAGAAGCGTATGACAATGAGTTCTAGTCGCCTGCCATCAAGCCCAAAGCAAGGAAAATCTTTGTGGCTAGAAGTTTGCTGTCCCAGATATTAATTAGAAAATAGAACGCAATATCAAATCAAATGAAGTAACATATTTTGCTTGCGCAAAGTATGTAAATATGCAGGAAGATAAAATGTTTCAATCTTACTTGACCTGGTTCTATGAAAAAAAGAGATCTAGAGTATGCTCATTGAAGCACTTGGGTATACAGGTTGTCCAAACCAGTTGGATAGACAGACCTATCTTTAAAATATGAGGTGAATTCATACGATTTCGTTTTGGGGTA